GTGTGCCATGAAGACAGCCCTGAGAACAAAGAATAAGCTCTATTTTGTTGACAAATCCTTGCCGCGACCAAATGTTACAACACCAGAAGAATCAGTCTAGTCCAAATGCAATGCCATGGTTGTCTCGTGGATTCTCAATTCCTTGTCTCAAGACATCTACGACAGTGTTGCATTCATCGACTACGCTACAGAGGTCTAAAAAGAACTTGAAGAACGTTTCTCGCAAAGCAATGTGCCTCACATACAACAACTGAAACAGGAATTGGCCCTCCTTCAACAGGGAGAATTAATAGTCACTGCTTACTTCACCAAGCTCAAAACACTCTATGATGAGTTAGGAGCACTCGTCACCATAAAGAGAAGTTGCACCAGTTCCTCATGGAACTCAACCACTGCTTCAACTCAATTTGATCTGCCATTCTTGGATTTGATCCTCTGCCCAACATAAATCGTGCTTATGCACTTTTTATTCAAAAAGAGAGACACCAACTTACAATCTCTCTTTACCATCCCTCTAAACAACTAGAAGCAGCAACGTTGAATGTATCTTCTCGACCACCAGTACGAGGACCTGGGTCAAATGGACATCTTCTCGACCACCGGTACAAGAACCTGGATCAAATGGACAACCTCGACAGAGACCAAGATATGATCACTACAAGAAAAACAGTCATACCAAGGACCATTGTTATGAACCCTTTGGATATCCAGAAAATTGGAAAAAGAATCGATCAAATCGATGATTTGAGAGTAAAACTTCACAACAACATTCTCGGCCATCATCCTATGCAGCTGCTGAATCATCAAATCCTACTAATAAGTCCCCAATCTCAAGATTAACAATGAACCAATACACTCAACTTTTATCTCTCCTCAGCAATGATGCATCTGATTTTGCCTCAGCCAATGCCTCTAGTAAGAATTCATCTCCTCTCAATCGGATTCTCGATAGTGGTGCATCCATATACATGTTTACCAATTCAAATTGTTTGGACCATGAGAAATTGGTTTGATTACCAAATGGAACCATCATTTCTGCCACTCATCAAGGATTTGTGAATCTAGGTTCACACACCATTCATAATGTTCTCCACCTTCCACAATTTAAATGTAATTTGTTGTATGTAAGCAAACTAAACACTCAGCTCAAATGTGTGGAAATTTTTCTTTCCATCATTCTGTGTTCTTCACGACCTTGCCTCCAAGACAATGATTGGGGTGGGCAAGCTCCATGGTGGTTTATACCATCATTCTATGTCCTCGGCAACGTATCTATCTAATAAATGGCATACCTATCACACTTGGAGATTTTTGTTGTGACTCATGTCACCGCACCAAACAGGCACGGATCCCATTCCCAATGAGTGTCTCTCAAACTACTACTCATTTCCAACTCGTCCATTGCGATATCTAGGGTGGCTACCGGATAGCTTCTCACTCAGGCGCTCGGTTTTTTTCTCACTATTATTTAATGATTTCAACAACATGGGTTTATCTCTTGAGAAATAAATCCGAAGCAATGTTCTTCCTTACTAGTTTTTCTATGGTAAAATGCCAGTTCAATTGTATTGTAAAATGTATGCGCTCAGACAATGGGTCTGAATTCATTTACGGACCCATGCAGCAACACTTCACCACTAAAGGCATCATTCATCAAAGGTGTTGCATAAATACTCCCCATCAAAATGACATTGCTAAACGCAAGCATCGCCACTTGCTTGAGTTGTTCGTGCTCTTCGGTTTGAAGGTTGTCTTCCTGTATCCTTTTGGGGAGAATGTCTACTCACAACAGTATATCATCAACTTACTTCCTATACTAGCACTTTTAGCCAAATCGCCAAATATTATTTCAAAAACCATGTGACTACAAACATCTTCGCACCTTTGGTTGTCTATGTTACGCCCAGGTCTGACCACTCCCTAGAAACAAATTCGCAAGTCGAGCTACCAAGTGAATCTTTGTGGGCTATCCTCATGAACAAAAGGGTTGTAGAGTTTATGACCTTACCTCACACCACATATTCACTTCTAGAGATGTTTTCTGAGTCCATATTTCCTTTTCAAACCACTACAACCATTATTCCCTCTACCTCTGTCTTGCCCCTTGCACAGCCTTCAGACCCATTACTTGAATCTTATCCACCTGAACAAATACCAGCCCATGAGCACATTACCACATTAGTCCATCAATTACCTACTGAAACCTCCACCAAAGTCCATGCCCTTCCCATCCACCCAACATGCTATTAGGCCACGTCGTGACCATCGCTTACCCCTACACCTTTATGATTATCTTGTTTGGCTTCTGCCATCCATCAACGAAAATGTTGATACTGTGTTTTACGCTATTACTAGTTCCACCGAGCATGAACCCACTTCCTTTGCTCAAGCCTTCTTTGACCCATGGTGGAGAGAGGCTATGGCCAAAGAGATAGAAGCTCTTGAAAACAATAACACATGGACTGTTGTCGACTTGCCACCTGGCAAACAAGCCATCAAATCAAAATGGGTTTATAAAATCAAGTACAAATCCAATGGTAATATGAAAGATTCAAGGCCCAATTAGTGGCCAAGGGCTATACACAGGTCGAAGGCATTGATTACCTTGACACATTTACTCCCGTTGCAAAACTAGCAACTTTACGTTGTCTCTTGGTTGTTGCTGGTGCTAAAGAATAGGAACTCCATCAACTTGACGTCAACAATACTTTCCTTCATGGTGATCTCCATGAAGAAGTATACATGACTATTCTACAGGGTTTTGCTAAGGATGGAACCCACAAGTCTGCAAGTTACAAAAATCTCTATATGGGCTCAAGCAAGCCTCCAAAATGTGGTTCTTTAAGTTCACTCAAGCCATTCTTTCCCTTGGTTTTAAACAATCCAATGCGGATTATTCTGTCCACACAATCTCAAGGAGAACCCTACGTTGTCATTTTGGTCTAAGTGGATGATGTCGTCATCATAGGGAATGATCCGGCCCGCATTTCCCCCATCAAGCAGTTTCTTGATGATCAATTTTGTATCAAAGATCTTGGTTCCCTTCAACATTTCTTAGGATTGGAAGTTGTTCGCTCCTTTACTGGCATTCATCTTAGTCAACAAAAGTACCTCAAAGACATCATTGACGAATGCAGACTTGAAAATTGCAAACCTTCTCCTACACCCATGGAACAACAATGTCACTTCGTTGATCCTTCCGATCCTCCTCTTAATGATCCAGCTCGTTTTCGACGTCTTGTAGGACGTTTAGTCTACCTTACTGTTACAAGGCTGGACATTAGCTTTGCTGATAGTTGTCTTAGCCAGCATATGCAAACACCAACACAAGAGCATCTTGATGCCACATTGCGGGTTGTTCGATATCTCAAAGGCACCTTGTCCCATTGCCTTTTCTTCGGTGCCACATCTGATCTCATGCTCCAAGGATACTATGATTCTGATTGGACTAGTTGCCCTTTGACCCGACGGTCTACTACAAGCTATCTTATATTGTTGGGATCTACGCCACTTTCATGAAAGTCTAAGAAGCAATATACAGTTTCTCGATCCTCTGCCGAGGCCGAATACCAAGCAATGGCTACTACCACTGCTGAACTCCTATGGCTGAAACATGTTCTCCACGACTTAACAGTCTCCCTATCTTCCATGCACTTATATTGTGACAACAAAGCAGCACTCCACATTGCCGCCAATCCTGTGTTCCACGAACATACCAAGCATATTGACATCAAATGCCATTTTGTACGTGAACATGTACAAAGTGGAGAAATTCAGACCTTCCACTCACCCAGCAATTCTCAACCTGCTGATCTTTTCACTTAGGCCCTCGGCTCAGACAAGTTTCAGCAATTAACATCGAAGTTGGGCATTCAGTTTCTTCCTGCCGGATTGTTGGGTTGAACTTGCCTAAGACAGTTGCCATGTGTCTATAAATTATTCACCACCTAATCTATGAAGTGCGACTCTATTTTCTCTGTGTCGATACCGATTTACATAGCAAGCAGCAAAGAATATAGAAGGAAAGAAGAAAAAAATGAACAAAAACATGAGAAAAAGTGTAGTTTGCCGAAGAAAAAGGATCAGTTTGCCGGAGACGTCTGTAAACACCTATCGCTACAACAGATTGGGTCGTGGTTGACTTATAGGGCTTTAGACTTGTAGTGCTTTTTAGACTTTTCGTTTTGTGTCTTTAATCATTTCATCATTGTGTGATTTGACTGATTTCTCGATTTGAGGGCTTGGGGTTGGGGCAAAGTTTTTTATTTCCTGATGTGCTCTTAAAAACCATTTAAGTATTACACATTTAAACATAGTGTCTATACACATATCACACGCTTCAAGGAATATAGAAGTTCGGTTTTTTTTATTAACAGAACTAAAACTTAACCAAAACCAAAAACCAATTTTATAAAAAAATGAACTTTAAGAACCGAATCATGGATTTCCAATAGTCAACGAGGGTTCCATCCCGAGATGATGCATTACCAAATCTTTCAGGAATCAGGATCCAGTCAATGATGCACAAGATAGATATTCATTTTTATTTTTTTGGTGGATGACATATTCACGTACATTTTGTTTTGAGATATTTTGTCATGCATCTAGGCTTCAAGAAGCTAAGAATATATTATGTTGAGAAATAAGTAAATAAATATAATTAATTTTGGTTGAATTTTTTTTCTTTTATGGAATCATGTCTTGAAATTAATGTCTATTGCAGGAGTCTCTGAACTCAACCAACCATTCAATCTGTTTAAGCAAGATGGTCAAGAACTCTTCCCCGTGGGGCACTCTTATAGTGGAGATATGCATGATGCTAGTTAGTCACTTCCCAATCTCATCTTCAAAACTCAAAACGTGTAGGCCACTTGGAAGCTTGGATTGGTTGATTTACAATCAAGTCACGTGATTTGATTATAGTGATGGGATGTAAGATTCTTTTGCTCAAAGGCATGCAAGTCTCAAAACACTCAAACTAGTGGTTCTAGAACAGAAGATGGTGAAGTGGAGTTAATTTCCTCTTTGAATTTACTGCAGTAATGATGTACATACAACAAATTAGGAAGAAAATTCTAATTCGAACAGCACAGGCTCGACGAGCTCCAAATGGCCTAGTTGACAAAAACTGGACTCCAATCCAGTTCCTGATCTTCTGTACACTAGCTCCTAATGGAATGACAAAAAAAAGAAGGGGAAACAGAAAAAATATATATAGATATATATATATATATATATATAGAAGAAATAAAGAAAAATGGAATCCCAACTTCAAATAGCTATTCCAACTTACTCTTTTTTCTTTCTTCTGTGTGATGAACTAACAATATACAGTTCTTTCCACTACAAGGAATATTTTCACTGTAAGGAACTGCTGAGTTTCCGATCACTGGAAGCCATTTCGCATCTGTAGAATCAACATTTAAAATCCCAGATTAGTAAAAACCGTCAGATGGCTTAAAGCAACTACATTTCATAAAAACTGATGCAAAATACAATGAATTATTAAAAGTAAAATTTTAATCACTTGGGAACAAATATTCCAACCATATGTAGGTGATCCTAGGCATCAATAAATGGAATGTGTTAGAAAGGTTGCCTACCATTTAAAAGAATTCAGCACCAGACGCAGTAATGAGGAACTTCTCCCCTCAGCCACCAGCTTCCAAAGATCCGACTTTTATTTTGAGGTTTTCCACTCTGGGTCCTTATTGTACAAATGGATTTCCTTAACCAATAATATTTTGATAAACCAACTTTTCCAAAACAAGAAAAAATAATAACCTGATATCATCAAGAGCTTCTGTCAATGATTATGCCTGAAGTCAGATACCACTTGTGCGACCCAACATTTGAGAGCCAGGACTAAGATCCAGAGATGGATTCGACTTCACATGATCTCTCAAGAGCTGCTGAGACACCCGATCAGCCAATACTGACTGTCCATCATAAAGTTCCCTAGAGTCCCCATGGACAGGCCTTCCAAACTGTTTTCCAAGAGCATCATTTTCAGATGATATCAAATCAGGGAAGATATGAGGACCTGGCTGCATCCCTCGAAATAGATCTGGTCTAGGGTCATGGTAGGCAGTGGCGCCATTAACATATGGATTGTTAGGGGACCTAGGCATATTTCCAAAGCCTTCATGCAAGTAAGATGACTGCTTCGGATGATGAAATGGGACGGCACCATTTCCACCAGTGAGAGGTGTGGATGAGCCAGACATCGTACGAGGGCTGGATATTGGAGATGGGGACATCCTTCCATTCACATGTTGAGGTGATCTTGAATGCAGAAGAGGACTTCCAATTGGGGAGACTGGACATGATATGTTCCTTGTTATATGGCTATCACTGGAAACCAAAAGAAAGAATTAAGATGAATAGACAGTTCCACATATAGATTCATCACAACTGAGAACTATCCCAAGTTGACACAATTGAGGTCTGAAAAGATTTTCATTTTGAGGATTAAGATAAAACTGATCAATTTTTTTTCTGGTAAACGAAAACTGATCAAATGGGAAAATAGCAAATACAAGCCGAGGCATTGACCAAAAACCGACAACTCAGAAGGGTCAAACGCAAATAGGGCTTGCCCTTTGATGTAAAAGCATTGTGAATCATCCAAAATTGCATCAACAACAGAAATGAAACAAAACCATACACATCGGCAAATTAAGAACTAACTCAGCTTATTTTCTCAAAAGAAAGAGAAAATCCATCCCTCTTTTTTTGTTGGGTGTGGTAGTGTGTGTGGGTGTGTGTGTGTGTGAGGGGGAGAGAGAGAGAGAGAGAGAGAGACCTGGATGTTGAGCCATTTTTCAAACCTCTGGATTGATGGCCTAAACCTTCTGAATCCAAGGAGGAAAGGTTTCTTGTATGCCCAATTCCCTGAAAATGTTCATATACATCACAAATTAGTTTTTTTAAGCCACACAAAACAATGAAACGTACAAAATCACACAAGCTGCAACAATTCTCACAGACAAAAATGTGCCCATTGCACATAGGCACCAAAAAATAGTACATACACAATGAATGAGATGATGTTAAGAGATGATACAAGTAATCAAGGACCAACCAATTTCAAGAACAAATCAAAGCATGCAACCCTGAATTTTGGATATGGTTGTTTTTAAGACCAAAAAAGTATCCAAATTTGGACCAGACTAATCCTCACATGAATGATCTCATGTCACATGTAACTAGTGACAATAATCATATTCATCAGCACAATGAGTTTCGTTTTGCAAAGGGGCAGCAAGCAGGACATAAATTGCAGGAAGGAGTAAGGAGATGGAAGTCCTACTTTAAATGTTTTCTTGATGAGTAAGTACAACTCCAATTGTTTATGTTGCATGTGTATTACACGATAAATAGTGTGGAAACTTAATGGTCAAAAAAGGACAATTCCATGAAACGCATCCACTCAAATTGGGACATTTCCATGAAATGCACCTCCATATACAGTGAAGCAATAACTATCTAGTGAAAAGGGAAGCACCTATTCTCCCTGCATGCAACCATTTATAAATTACAAGTGACAACCATTCATTTCCTAATTCTTTTAGATACCAAGACTCTGAGCAAAAAGAACATCCACCATTTCACAAATGTTTTTCAAACAAGAAAACTCCCAAGAGCAAATCTAATATTTTTATTGAAGAAATCTGCATCCTAGACTTAAGAGTAATGTCATGAAATGATAATTAATTCTTCAACTACTGTATTGGTCGGTAAAGGTTTATGTCCCCCTCAACTCTGTTTCAAAATGTAAATTTATTTCTAGAGAGTTGGGGAATCTTGTTTGGATGTATACCCCCCCNCCCCCCCACACACACACACAAACAAATAAAAAAATAAACCTAAAATAAATAAATGGATTGAACTCAAGGTAAAGAGGGAAAATAAAAAGAAAGAGAGAATGGAGTACCTTGACAAGGAAAGCATGCAAGTCATGTTCCTCAATCACCAAAAATTTTACATTTAAACCATATTTAACATTACTACCATCTCACAAATCTGCTAGTTACTACCCAAAGAAAACACAAGCATTAGTTGTATCACTGCTCCAAACATCTTTTGAAACCACATCCTCAATCCTCCCCCCATCCCCTTTTATACAACTTAAGTCCAAAATACCCTTATCCTTTCATTTTGATGCATAACAAGATTTCATTAAAATATATGGTATACAAGCAGTATATATTATATAAAATACAAAACAAGCAAAAAATTAAAAAAAAAAAAAAGAGGAGGTCAAAGACTCCAAAGCAAAGGAATCCTTTATTACAAGTATGATGCATGAGATGGACATAAATTAAAAATAAAACATCCTAAAACTATACAAGCATTGTCGTTAAAAAGTGTACAAGTTGCATAGTTTTTGGAGTGTATGTTACTTTTTAGTTTTCTTTTAAGAAAAGATAACTTGTATTCAAAAAGAAGGAAGGATGTACATGAAAGGATGTAATAAAAAGTGCCTAGGGAGAAAAAAAAGACAATGCCCAAGCAATTAAAATGGCATTGTATTTGCACTATACAAAATAAAGGTTTTCTGATCTGTCACCAATAAAAAAAAGATATTTACAATTCCTTTAAAGAGGCAAACAGGGAATGGACTTATTATACATTATTTCCCTATTAACCCCAAATGTCACCATGTCATTTACAGCATTTAGATTCCCTGCAATCCATTTCAAGACAGTCATACAGTTTTTTTTTATCACTAACAGAAATTTTTACTAAAAATAAGATAAATTAAAAAGGAGAGGAAAAATCTCTCAACTCTCCACAAAGACTAAAATACAATTACAATTGTACTCAAAACTGATTTCTTCCCACTCCTTGTTTTGCTAAAGCATCAGCAAAACCATTAACAGACTAGCGGTTCTTTTAACCCAATTTACTCGCATCCATGCCTCATGTCAGCCATTTAAATTTCTTTCTTTCACTGTTGTAGTTCCAAAGTCTGGCTTCTTCCTTTTGCAGCCAAACCACCACCAGCTTTGAATCTCTTATAATCAACTTACTTAATATTCATATCCTTTGCTATTTGCACACCTTCCATCATGGCTAAAATCTCTGCACTAAAAGAATCCCCGTCACCCATTAGCCCTGAAACAAGACCAATAATACTGCCCTCCTCGTTCTTGAAAACACCCCCAATACCTGGAGGAGCTGGATTGCCTGCACTACTCTCATCAAAATTAAGCTTAATGAAGCCATGGAGTGGTGGGGGCCAAACAGGTATCAGACTTAAGCTGATCTGAACAAGCCACTTCCCTCCAGTTTCTCATAATATCACCTACTAAAAAATCAGCAAATAACTCCAAAGATTTAACCCATTGAAGCACCCTGATTGTGATAGTCTCAATAATAGCCTCTCTGCTTCTTTCCTTAACAGAGAATATCCTTGAGTTCCTTTCTTCCCAAATAGTTCAACTCAAGGCAGCTCTTAACATCTTCACATCAATCTTCCCCTCTTCTTTGGCCAACTAAAAACCGTAGAGGCAAACAAACATTGCAAATTTGGTGAGAAGTTCCACCTACACCCAAACAAGGAGAAAAATCATTCCCAAATGGAAGTTACAAAGGAGCAGGAGATTAATAGGTGAAAACAAGACTCTCCATTGGTTTTACAGAGAACACACCATGCGAGGACAAGCACCAATTGCGTCTTTTTCTTTGAAGCAAATCGCAAGTATTTATTGTTTCCAAGAACACTTCCCAACATAATCCAATTTGAGGGGGGTCCCAAAAGCTGTCTAATGGCATTTAAGCATGAAGAAAAGCTAGCAAGGACCTCTCTCAAGTACCCTAGGCCAACTGATGGTATTAGCAGTCTCCCTTGACCTCAATCAATAGCAATGATTGATTGTCTCCTAGAAACACCCCAAGACCTCACCTCCCAAATGGGTTTCTATATGCCTAAAGTACAGGGGAGCCAAGGAGGAGAGAAAAAAGAAAGAAATGCCACCAGCCCACCGAACTTATTGCTTCAGCTCATTAAATCCGAGTCCTAACTCCATGTTATTCCCATGCCGGATAAAGTAACAATTTATTTTAACCAGTTCGATACTAATTAATTCCTCATTCTTTATTGGTTTAATTTTATCAATCCCACAAGCCAATCAGGGGAGCTACAATAAAAACAAATCTCCCATCAAGGCACAAATTGTTTTCTTCTCAGCCAACAACATACACATGATGCACAAGAACTACAAAACAAAAATTACCACTGCATTTTTTTAATAGAATCCCTGCATGTTAAGAGCAGATGTATGAACATAATAGTTGTTAAGAATTCCAAGTAGGGGTGATCATGGGCCAGAGTAGGCTTAGCATCTAACAATAGAAGGCTTAACCTAGGCCAAAGCTTCTGGGCCTGCAAACTAACATATAATACAATTCCAGGTGAGGCCAGGCCTGGAAGTATTGAGCCTAGGCCCAGCCTATAAACTTGAAGACTAGGACAAAGATGGTCACTCCTAATCTCAACAGTACCCTTCATGACTCCACCCAAGCCATTTCAGGAAGAACTATTCTGATTTCAAAAAAGGGAAAAAACAGCAAGAATTGTTCCTCAAATTTTCTGTGCCGGAATGTGAAAGTGTACCTAAAGTGAACATGCAAGTTAACTAGAGGAATGGTTTGCATTAACATTGATTTCACTATTTGCACCAAAACAGTAGGGGATAGCTGAGCAGAATTATGCGTGTACCAGAGATTTCACTGCATTTACAACTCCTAGATGTGCTTCTGGAGACTCCACTATCGGCTTTTCCAGTGGTGCCACGTTTTTCACAAAAGGATGCTCCAAAAGCTGAGCAGCCGTAGGACGAAGTAGTGGATTGCGTTGCAAACACTTCCTCACAAAATCTTTTCCTTCTTCTGAGAGATGTTCAGGGATTGCTGGAAGTTCCTTACTATTCCCAATCTTAAACATAGCAGCAACCTGTTGGCCAAAAAATACAAAATATTAATACAATAAACCATGAGAAGATGCCTAGACCAATCTCTAGCATGTGAACATTGCTAGTGAGATTTCTATTTGAGTTAAAACCAGAAACACTTTAAATTGTTATAAGGTAATACAAACATCAGATAAGTGGTTAAAATCACTTTACCCCTTCATACTGGCTCCAAGGTGGTTTTGTTGTAGCCATCTCCAAAACAGTACATCCAAGACTCCATATATCAACAGCAAGATTGCAACCATTTGAATTCTTAATAACCTGAAACAGTAATGCAAGTAAGAAGGGCTACAGCACAAGTGTCTAGGAACCAAGCCACAAGGGAATGACAAAGACACTGACCTCAGGTGCCATCCAGTAAGGGCTTCCCTTAAATGACAAAGGACAAGATTGCCCAGTAATCTGCAAATACAAATCAACACTCAGATTTGGTATGAAAAGTAATATGAACCTGAAAACACAAGTAAACAGAAACTCATGCACGTGACATCATTTACTTTACTCCATTAAACACTTCCATAAGCATGCAAGCAACAATTAAAATTAACTAGCATACATGTAACTTAATGAATCGAGTTCTATGACCTTCCATTTAAAAATGACATTACTCTTGGCAATTCAGACATCCATTTACATTTGCAACAAAAATGCCCATTTAAGATCTGAAACCCCTTGGCAATATTTAAATTTTAAACTCACCTAAATTCTCATCTACCGATAAATAGAGGTACTCGTAAAAAAACAAAAAACCAAACTGAACCAAGAAAACCAAACCAAAAAAGGCAGTTAACTGTACCTATTGGTTCGGTGTTTTTGGAAAACCAAGGACCAGTTCGGTTTTCAGTTAACCTAGAAAAAACACTGGCAGTTAACTGAACCAACCGGTATATATATGTTTATGTATATTATATGTTTTTTAATATATATGCATTATGTATATAAATATAAATATATATATATATATATATATATATATATTTTAATTAACTATTTATAGTACATAATATATTATAAATATAAAAAAACAAAAATAAAAGAACCGAACCAGTCATCCGATTAACCAGTGGTATCGGTTTGGGAAATTGCAAAAATCAGTAATATATGTTCAGTTTCAAAAATATGCCCAAGGTTCGGTTAACACTGTAAGCACCCCTACTAATAGGTAATAATTGAACTTTCCTGGTTTAACATGCACAGGTTGGTAAACATTTTAAGTTTTCACCAATGCTTAGAGAACCAGACTGGGCATAGAACCAGAAAAGGGAGAGGTTCACAGGTCACATAAATACTATATATAATATATTTTACAACTTTTATTATACTTAAATATGGTGGATGAATGGCAAGTTCTTTAATTTTTAAAGCAAATGACTAGGGTTCAAACTTCTTCATTCACATTTTGTTTAAAACACGTGTATAACAAAGTAATGTATACAATAAAGAGTCATTAATTAACACAAAGAAGTGGACTAATGGTAATTAAGCAATACTTGAAAAATAAGAGTTCAATAGTTCAAGTCTTGTCACATGTTTCATGAAACTGGGACTGGTTCACCAATTGTCCGTTAAACCAGCTGGTCGGCCAGTTTCATTGGGTTTTTAACAATTTCAGTTCTTGGGGTGTGACCAAACTGGCCAGGGCCCCAGGTCATGGTTCAACCAGTCTGACCATCTGATCCGGTCCTGTTTCCTGAACACTGGTTTTTACCATAGCTAGGAGTCAGAGAAGACGGAATGCACAAGCAAAAGCTTACATGTTTTGCCATCCCAAAATCTGCCAACTTTACTCGCCGTCCATTGGGATCTACAAGTATATTTGCCCCTTTAATATCCCTGTACATCCATTGAATTTTTTTGGGTAAATACATCCATTAAAATAAAGTTACTGGAATTATATATTAGTTAACAAAATCGACGAAGAGCAATATCTACACCAACCTATGAACAGTGTTCTTAGCATGCAAATATGCAAGGCCTGAAAGGATCTGCTGAGTATAACTACGAATTGCTACTTCACCAAGCTGCCCATAGTCCTGAAGAAGTTTATAAATAGAGCCACCAGATACAAACTCCAAGTATATATACAGTTTATCATCTACCTGTTCAAGAAAACAAGTTCAAAGCTAAGATCAACAAAAAGGGCAAAAGAATCTGAAGCATCTTATTGCCATTTACAAATTTTAACTACAAAGAAACACGAGTAATTAGTAACAGCATACTTTTTTTATAGTAAAGGAAAACTTTATTAAAAATAAAAAATAAGATACAAAGCCAGGTGATGAGAAATCACAAAGAGAGAAGAAAGAAAGAAAATGAAACCATTCCTCCCCTGTCCAGGACCCCCTATTATAATCTGAACAAAAAAAAACAATAACAGAACTCTTTGTCCATAACACCAAACCAATAACAACCATCTCCCAAAAATAATATGCTGCAATTAAAACTAGAACAAACTTGTCTTTCAGGAAATGGCAAGTAAAACAGGAAATTCAAATAAATGAACAAGTATTTAACCAAGACTTCAACACTGCCTCTCCAAGAAAATATCTTCAGATAATTGCATATGCATCTTGCTTAGCTTGATATTTGAATCACACCATTCAGGAGAAGCAATATTGTATCAGAGTAGGCTTCAGTAAGCTGTCTAGAGGAAATAACTCCAATAGATTTGACTAATCAGTAGAAAAAAGAATGAAAGAAAGAAATAGGAAAGAGAAAAGGTCAAGGAAAAGATAATCCAAATGGGCCTGAAGTAGGATATGGAAGAAAAGTCATAAAAAGTTATAATGCTGTTCAAGAAGATGCAGACATGTTGGATCAAGGAGCAATATCTGCAAACACCTACAACTCCAAAGGGGGAAAAATCCTTTCCAATGCAATAATACCAAATTGCAGCTTCAGACAACACTACAAAATATTAGTTTCTCACATCACATTATTAACAAGCATTTACAGGCTTGGTTCGCAGAAGTTCCATTATATGTAATTTGCCAATAATAAAGATGAAGAATGCAGCACCTTTTTTTCCTTTCTTTTTTGAATCAGAAAAATAACTTTAAAATATGAAATTAAAGAAAAGGTGGTCCTAAATAAATGAAGTACTGAATATTGTTTTTGGCAGTCCTAGAAAAAGATGGCAAATGGATTTTATCTGCACAGAAACCATGAAATTGAAAGACATCAAGTTCCTAGAAATGAATTATTAGAACAGCTTTCCCAATAACTAAGCCCCTATAGGTCCCCATGACATGATACACAAGCACATGAGCAAAATAAAGACACCATAAGAATTGGCGGAAACAAAAAGAACAGCACATACCGTCTCTGACCCATAATACTGTACTATGTTTGGATGCCGCAAGCGACTAAGAAGAGAAATTTCCTGTCATTATGAACTCAGAAAGGTAAGTAATTGCCATAAAAACATAGGGATTACTTCGATCATCTAGCAAAAATAATGTTGGAGGAAGAAGAAAACACATGCTTAAGATGAACCACTTCCACCATAGTTCACTAACTGCATGGGGAAAACTTACTTGACACAACTGCTTTGCACTTTCCCTTGACTTGGCATCATCTGAAAATAGTATAACCTCTTTCATTGCACACATTTCACCACTCTCACTAAAAACAACCAAATAAACAGAAATGCACAAAGTCAATGAGAAGCTAATGCTTAAAGAATCTCACAGAAAAAAGAGCACAATAATGTTCATTACTTCATTTGCATTATAATCAAGACTATTAAGCTATTGAAAATTTGAAAGACTAGAAATTGTGGGTATGGGTCCAACAGCAGTAAGCTGCACAAGCTCAGGAAAACAGAGAATTAATGTAAACAATGGAATGCAGTCATGATCTTCACCTGTTAAAACCAACATAAACATGGCCAAATGTCCCCCTGCCTAGCAGCCTTCCCTTCTTCCACCGTGAACCAGGGCTTATTGGATTTTCTGCCCTTCCTGGACTTCGTGGGACAGAAGGTGATACTGCTGCTGCTGCATTTGCAGCAGGAAAAGGAGGAGAATTAGAAATTGCTATAGGAGGAAGAGGCAACCGGTGACTTTGTTGTTTCCCATCATCCTGCCAGCTTGTTGGTGATTCTGCCGTTACACCTCCAGCACGTGGATGCAGAGGAGTGACAGCACCGCTGTGTATTCGTGAGCTAGGACCAGGACTAGTCATTCTGGGGCTAGGAATTGGAGAACACTCAGGGCTTCCCCTGCTGTGCTGCCAAAATAACTGTCCAGACATATCCCCTCCCATTGAATTATGTCCAGAATTATGACCTGAACCTGGACTAGAGCAGTGGCCAGAACCACCTAATGCAACATCAGCAAAAGGCTTTCCCCCCCAGAAAGCAGAGCTTGCTATCTGATCAGTACCAACTATTCGCATAGGACTTCTAGAAGGGCTTGACATCGAGCTGTCTGGAGCACTCCCAAAAGCACCATAATGTGGAATCTGTAAACTTGGTGCATAAGAACTCAAGGGTCCCCGTTTAGGTGATGTAGAGAGTACTTGATTATTGAACAAAGGATTAGCTGGCTTTGGCACCTCTTTCAAGCTCTTTCGGGTGAGGATATGGGAATGATCCTTGTGCATCACACTTCAGCAAAGGTAAAGATAATTTGTTAGGGAAGGATCCAACCATAAAGGAAACAATAGAAACAATGGAAGGTAATTATACAACTCTCAAGAGTTTCATACACAAACATGCTGTGTACTCCACAATAAGAGGCTTAGTAATACATTATGATATGTGTAGAGTGACTTTAAACATAAGCTCACCTGGAAGGACTGTTCACTGCAGTTCTTGTCCCATTTTCATTGTCAGTTGTCTGGGGGCTAAGATGACGTGAATCAGCCGGGTCATCACTATCAATTGAGCAATCACTAGAAATTGATGCAGTTGCCAAATCTCCATCTACATCTGTCACATCTGACCTGTGCTGAATGCAACCAGGTTTGGGTAGAGTATATAATGAAGGCTTCACACATTTTTCTAATCCTGGTTTTGTTACACTGATTCCAGAATCAGTGCGTCCAATGCATGCAGGATGAATCCCAGGAAGGGGAAGGGGCTGAGCATGAGGCCTTTCTGCAAAACTTTGACACCTTGATACTTCTGTGGAGGGCGATGGTGATCTTGACTCTGCTCGGGATCGAGAACCTTTTTCAGAAATCGTGTCACTATTACGTCTTCGAGACCCACATGATCTATTGCTGCCTTTTTCTTCAGAAGGAATCTTAAACTTACGGTGTAATGTATCAAATATACTCTCCTTGTTTGTTTTCTTCTTTACTTCCTTGGATGATGACTTCCCCCACCATGAAGGCATGTTTTAATATAAAGAAATTGTATAAATGATGGATAAGTCCTTCCAACTTCAATACTCCCAAGTTACAAAGTTTGGGTAAGCTGGATTAAAAAGATCCACCAATTACATGCATACACCAAGTCAGTAACCAAATTTAGGACTAATACCTATGCTTCAGATGATAAGAAGGTTTTCCCAACAATAACCTCCTAAATAAAATGGCACATTTAGTTGGCTGCAGCTATCAACTCCAGAGCACAACTGAGCAGTTCAAGAAGTGTCATTCAAAAAGAAAGTGTGGCTTGTAACAACCTGGTAAAATTTTTAAATAGAAATAATAGTAAGTTCCCCTACAAGCTTCAGCATAAAAAATCAAAATATCACATATAATTAGCTGCAAGTACAACTGTAGCCATGCTAGTTATAAACAATTTAAATTCTGCCTGAACATATCAGTAGAAGAAACCATGGCCTGACTCAGGTGCGGTACAACATATGTCCATCCACCAACATGAATCTTGTGTGTAGGCATGTCTAGATATTTATCTTATAAGTAAATGTGCGCCAACCACCTGGGCTACCAAAATACACAAATGCATGTGTAGAAGCAACAATATGCCTACAGATGCAAACAAATAATGGAAGATTTAATATTTTCAGATGCTTTCAGCAAAATATGTTGTATTTAGAAATGCTACCAAATGATAGAAGATTCATTATTTTAAGATGTTTTCAGCAAAATATATTGTATGTCATAAAATTTCGCATAGCTCCTGCACAATTTGCTTTTGTGTTGCCGAATGCAGTATGCTCCTACTTTAATGGTAAATCACATAGCTAACCACCATATCTACAGATGTTCTTTGCAATCAAGAAGTTTATGTCTAATAACTACAGCCTTCAGTTATGCATTATTAAATACATACTCCCATTTTTATGCACATAGAGTCTTGTATTGGAAGGGGGCCTTGCCAAAATGGAAGTATATTGCTCTTAAGCAAATATGTGGAGAAACAATGTAAGTTAAACTAGACTTTGTGCAAGTGGAAAGAAAGTCTTCTGCAAATAATGTCAAAGTATTAGAACTGCACACAAGCATAGGCAGACAAATCTTACTAATCCAATTAATTAATCACCCATTGTACAGCTGTAGACCTAAGCTGATAAACAAATAGACATAACAACATAACCACTCAAATATCCTTTTTTTTTGTTTGTTTGAGATAATATACTCACTCAATTATCTAACTTCCAATATGTTTGTCAATGCACCACAACTTTTTGGACTAATAATCAACAAGGTTTACCAGTTGAATGATATGGATTCATGAACCCTACAGTTAAGTCCATTCAATAGATTATCAATAAAAAAAGGTCTCTTCTACAGATTCCATTATATATGATGCAAATTGGCATATTTTTTCTTAATTAATATGATATAACTCATAACTAACTCCTCTATGTGTAACATTCAATCATGACAATGCTTTTAGAAATTATACATTAATGAATAAACAGATATTTTTGGATAGTTCACAGTTAGATATGCAAGTCAGGTTGTCCAATTTGAAGCATCTCGGCTATATCAGACTTGGGTTTGGGCTCAGACTCCTTTAAATTTTAAAAATTTCTCAACACAACCCAACCCAAGTTGCGCCCCTATCTACAATTCTCTATGAAAGATTTAATAGGCCCCATTTTTGTTATGAGGTGATATATACCTCAGAAGTCAAGACCTATTGGCCCAGTTTATACAACTGCATTTGATTTGGAAGATAAAAGAAAGGGGAAAATTATAGGGAAAATTGACCATTGGAATTGTAACAAATCCAGTGGTGTTATTTATACATATAACTAAAGAAAGAACAGATGCTTATTTAAAACATGAAGCTTAGATAAGCCATAAAAGACAACTAAAATAATATCATACAAATGGCATTATTTAAAATAGAAGTGAGATAGAGTGCATTAAAAACCAATTTTTATAATTAAAACCCAGACCAGAAGTATTGGGAGAAAACATAAAAAGGACATGGGTCATTTTGCAGTATTAATTACTTCAGTACAGTCACATGGGCAAGAAGCTTGTTCTAAAGACTAAAAACAAAAAAAAAAAAAGAAAATGCAAGTTGCTAAATATGTAGATGCAGAAAGTAAATAAAGGACGTCTAGATGAATTAACGTCAGGCTTAAAAGGATTCTGATGACGTAAATGGATTGAGTTGATTAAAATGATTTTAGAACTAATGGTTGGATGGTAATAGAAGCTTTATGGTTACTACAGATGGGTCAAGAATCTCACATGCTTCTTTAAGTACGTTGTTTCAGAATAAAGACATCGAGGTGCAGCCTAGCCAATACTTTCTCAAAATTGAAAGGCGCCTGGCTTTTAGATCATCTTCCAAGTTCCAAGTTTACAGATCCCTCCCTCCGACCCAAAGACCATTGCAAATATCAAACTAAGAACCTAAGTTCCTATAAAAAGAATAATAAATAAAATCAATCAAACAACAATATCTCTTCAAGTTTCAGTTATTTTAACTAACACCGCCAAATGTACCAAGATATTTGGGAAAACATAAGGAACGCTTCAACTGCACCCAATGTCATTACAATTGCAGATATTGCATCTACATATTATCTCAAGGCATATTACCATGAAACCGACATTGAACATGTTTGACCTCTAAACCCAAACATCTCAGTCGTACTTTTAGTACACTTCAATAGCATCAACAGATGAAATATTTAATCCCAATCGCCGTTGAACAAGTAAGGACATTCGTATTCATCAAAATGTCAGCAAAAATGCATCACTCTGCAACCAGTTCATTTTGCTTGCTAGTGAAGCGTGCAGATATCCTAAACTCTTGATCTTTACCAATTCTCAATTTTTCTTGTTTCTACGAAATAGGTTGACCCAACAAACAAAGACCTCAACCTGCTCTTCTACAATAGAGACGACGATTTGATTCTTCTACTCATTAACCATATGAACGCGATCTCCACAACCGATCTCAAGCTGTTTTACCACATAATCCACTACAACACTGAAAACCAAAAACGAAACTTTTCCGCACAGATCTACGACTTCAACTCTTCCTAAAAGCTCAACTAAAGATAAAAGGAAGGATTATAGATTAAAATTACTAGCAACAAATCTAATAAAATTAGAAATAATGTAGTCTACTCACCTTAGATACCCCAACTCCAATGAAACCCTCAGAAGAGAGCAAATCATCTTAAACTGCCGCCGATGACTAAGGACAACATGCAAGGCTTCAAATTTGTCGCAATTGAAGAACCAAACTGGGCCAAATAATAGAGTAAAAAGAAAGCAACATCTCCGGAGCCCCGAACCCTAGCAGAAGTGCAGAACCATGACTAAACCGTACAAATCGACTGCAATAGCTCTCAAATAGTCAAATCCGTCGATTTCGTTTTGCTTCAGTAGAGCTCAGAAGAGTAAAACGAAACCCTAGAAAACTGAGATACGAAGAAATGGAGAGAAATAGAATGAGCCTGTGGAATTTCGAAGGTCTGGCTTTGGAAGAGAACGCGTAGACGAGGCGATGGAAAGTTTGTAAAGGGGAGAAAGGAATCGAAATGGGAAAGAGAGTGAGAGAGAAAGAGAGAAGAGAGAGTATGTCTGGGCTGAGAAGAGATGGAGTTGTCTGAGTGTTGATTTTTAATATATTTATTTATATAATAAAATAGACCAGTAACAATAATAATAATAATATTATTGGTAAATAAAACTATAAAAGTGGACCTAGACTAATCGTAATCGATACCCCATTCCCTCTTACAGTCTACGCAATTTCCGTTCCCTTTCAAGTGTCGCTTCTCGCCCACATTGTCTCTCTGACCCCGTTTTAGTTCGTAGTTCCTCACTCACACACTTCTTTTCACACAATTGCAATTTACAAACATACCCCACGTCCCCAGTTAAAACTACCTACCTCCTGCTGATTAACAAGTCAATGATGATGCAGTGAAGGATGCTGTGGGAAGAGGTCATGTGCAAGCGACTTGAGAACCGTTCGATCGGAATAACTTTACTTGCAGAAGGAGTCGTAGGGCACTTGCCACTTGGGCTGGCTGGCTTGTAACTTGTAAGGTCTTGTTGACTAATAACAGTTGACTATAAGTGATAAGGGTTGGGTTACGTGGGATCATTCCCTTGCTGAAAATCAACAGCAGTCTCACAGATATCCAATTTAAGGGAGATATCTTTGACAATTTGATTGGTAGTTTACGGCAACCTCACAGATTCTCCTCGATTGGGATCGTTCATGTGGTGGGCTCCATTTTAAGCGTCTAGCTTCCTCTTCCCATGTCCTTAGTGGACCCCAGATGTTCACTAATCACTATTGCCCCACCCCGCTCAGCACTTCAGCAGTCAGCAGTTCAGCACTCAACCTCGGATTAAAAAAATTAAAAAAAAAATCCTTTTTGGATCAAATAGTTGAGATCCACCGTATTTATACGATACGGGTTGGAATAGCCAACCCAAACTGGGCTCTATTTTAGGACAGGGGCTGATGTCAGCACTCAGCAGACAACCGGCCCCACCTCCTCGTGCTCTTTTCTTGGGTGGGATGGGAATGGCATGAGAAGTTTGTGAATAGAATAGACCTGGAACTGTGGAAGGTAAAAGTGGGTCCGGTTGATCGTTATTAACCCGAATATTGCTGCCCGACCGGCACCTTTTGAAACCCGCACGGTTCGACCGTTCGGTTCCATTAATTAAAGACAGTAGTCAAATTAGTCATACGGGGAAGGCCCCAACTGAACTGGCACCAGTATTCTACATTCGTCTTTGGTTGGAGAGTCGAACGGTTACGATGCGATGGATTGCAGGCCACGGAATCATGCACCAGTGTCAACTGAAAAAATGACGATTCATATGGAAGGTGCGCTGAAAATATTGTGTAGGATCATGGGAAAGTATCATTTAATAATAAATCAACTTTCTTATTAAAAGGGATCATCACACAGGGCGCCTCACTCGCGCCTCACACACACATCATACCATGCATTAGGAACATTTCCCGTACTTATGAATTATATTCACGGGAGATGTTCCCAATGCAAGGTGAATGTGCATGTGAGGCACCCCCTTAGGAGGAGCAGATCCTGTTCTTGTCAAACATGGGAATTGGGATCTAATCCTCACACAGGACGCCTTACAACAACCTCACAGGCACATCCCACTGTGCATTGGAAATATCTCCCATAAATAATAATATATAACTGTGGAAAATGTTCCCAATGTATGGTGGAATGTACTTGTGAGATTGGTGTGAAACATTATGTGTGAGGAGCAGATCTGGCCTCCAAACATGAGGGTTAAATTACTTGCAAAAGGTTGCAACCACCATAGAGTCCAAATGTCCAATGCATCTGTGATACTACATTCATGTACATACACACTTGGTAGTTGGTACCAATGTTGGAAGACTAGGCAGGGATCGGACGGTCGGACCATGAAAATTGGGAACCAATGGCCTTTTAGGGTTGGAAGAAAAACATTTGGTATCAATGTACTCTGCCGAAACCAGACAGTTAGACCATAAAAATTAGGAAACGATGACGTTTTTGGGTCCTTGTTAAACTGATAAAACTAGGACCCATGGGTCATTCTAATCCAGCTCAAATCTTAAGAACACTTATAAATTATGTGCAAATAATAGGGTCTTGCGCCCAACGACTGTAGTTGCGTAGGTGTATGTGAGGCCCACTGCCATTACTGCAAAGATCATGAACTTATACAGGTTTGATCCCATGCCTCTGCATCCAATGGACATGGAATGACCATCTCAATTCTTGATTATTGGGTCAACGGTAAAGATGCGACCCCTTTTTCAATACAATACAATCATGGAAAATCACCATCTTTTAGGCTATGTTTGGTTTAAAGGAAAAATTAGGGAAAGGAAGGGAAAGGTAAGGAAATATTTACAAATCTTGTGTAGGTTTTCCTGTCTTTTCCTTCCTTTTCCTACTTTTTCCTTCAAATCAAACACAGCCTAACAAAATTTAAGATGAGATAAAAATACGAATTTAATGATGGGAGAGGTTATACATAAATGTTGACTACTGTAGCTAGACAAATATAGGAGTTCAAAACAAATTTTTTAAAGAAAGACATGATGAATTTTATTAGAAGAAATCAATAAATTAAGACTTGAGAGCAAGGTTTTTAAAATCGACTTGGACAACGAACCGGTCAGGGGTCCAGTTCCCGAGTCGAACAATCAGCCCGTTATGAGAAAAATAATTAAATAAATTTTAAAAAAATAAAAAATGGTCAAAACCGTTGAACGGTTCGAATGCCCGGGTTAGTGGTTTGCTGACCAAATCAACATTTTTTGGCCAAAATCCAGTTTTGGGGAAAAACGGAACCGGTCACTTGACTGGTTCCCGATTTTTCCAATCCGGTCTGGTTTTGAAAACCATGCTTGGGAGAGTGCTATTATGATTTTTAATATTTTTAGCTTAAAAATAAATAAACCACATATGTGAGATATGAGAAAATGATGTCCATGTAAGTATTAAGGTGAGGAATTGAGATATGCTTCTCACTCCGACCTCACAGCCAGATGTGCAGCCAGGATATGCTGTGAGGTTGGCGTGAGGCGTGCTCTGTGAGGAGCAGATCCAGACTCTAAGGTGAGAGGATGCCTAGCATTTTATTTATTAGGGGTGTAAGTGAGCCAAGTTACTCACAAACTAGGGGTGCAAATGGATTATTGACAATCGAATCCAAAGTCCAATCCTATTTTGTCAGATTCGGATATCCCTATTTCAGATTGTTGGACTGGATAGGATCCGATTTCTCGGATCACCCCCTATCCAATCAAAAAGGATATGATCCGCTATATATATCGGATCTGTTTATTTATAAACACGTTATTTATATTGCACTTTTGTATATTTTTTAATAAAAAAACATGTACATATGTGATAAAAATAGTTGAAAAAATACTTGTATTTTTTGTTTTTTTTTTTTATTTAAACTACTATATTTTATTTTCTATTTAATAATTTATTAATTTAAAAAAAGTTGGGATTGGATCATATTTAGATATCCAACATCCTGATCATATTCAAATTCGAATCAGTATTTTATGAGATCTGATCAGATCGAATCTATAGTGAATCGGATTGGATTCAAATATACCCTGATTTGATTCCGATCTAATCCGTTTGCATCCCTATCACAAACTACTTGAGCTCAACTTGCTAAATACTCAAACTCACTTGACTCAAGTAGAGTTTGAGCTTCACGTAATACCATGCTCAAGCAACTCACAAGCCCAACTACTCTTATAATAAAATATATTTTTAATGTATATTTATTTGTAGCATAAATAAATATTAAATTTTATATTAGTTTACCTATAATATAAATAAATAAATTTGTAATAAAGTTTCATAATATAACTTTTATTTATAATATTTTTAATATTAATGTATTTGTAACTTGAGTAGGGGTGCAAGTTGGGTACTCGATTTTAAGATTTTACATTGCACCAAACCCAAGCTTTTAGGCCAAACCCATTGAATTTTTAACCTAATACCAAATCGAGACCCACATGAGTTGCACCCCCAAGTTGAGTAGCTCATGAGTATCGTCTCAAGTCAAGTTCAAGTATGAAACTTAAAACTTGGTCAAGCTCAAACCGAATTTCAAACTCTAAGTTTTTTGGATTGAAGCAAACTTGAATGCCCCAATGCTTAACTTGATTTGACTCAATTACAACCCTAAACATCTCTTTTCTCCATATACAACAAACAAAATCACAAATCCCATAAAAGTTTCTCCTACATTTAGGATTGGGAATTGCAACAATGGACAAAATAAATACCTCTTTCATTGTCCCATAGACAAAGAGGAGACAACAAAATAAAAAATAAACAAAAAAAAAGGAAAAGGAAAAGGAGGAAATTGATATTCCTTTTTTTTTCTATTTTATATATGGTTGCATTGGAGAAGATTAGGGGTGTAAGTGAGCTGAGCCTACTCACGAGAGGGCCCTCACAGCAATTGAGTTTGAGTCAAGCTTGACTTGGTCAAGCTAAGTTTGAGCTTCGTAATAACTAGATTGAATGACTCATGAGCCTAATCGAACTCAAAATAAAATACTATTTTTAAATATATTTGTATTTATAATATAAATAAACATTAACTTATTTATAATATAAATAAATACATTTATAATTGATTTTCATAATATAGTTTTATTTATAATATTCATAATATTAATTTATCTATACTTTTTAAGATTAATTCATTTATAATCGGCTTAAGTCGAGCCAAGCTCGCAAGTTTCAACTCGAGTCAAGTTTAAGACAAATACATGAAACTCAATCGAGCTTGAGTTGAATTTCGAGCTTTATGTTTTTAGTCAAGTTTGAACTCAAACAACTTGATACTCGGCTTGACTCGACTCAACTACGCCCCTATAGAAGATTGGTAGAATATTCATTTTGATGGGTTGGTTCAAGATAGTGTTTTTTTGTTGGTTAAACAAGCACATGATAGTGTTTATTTAACATTGAGAGTCCAATAGCAGAGCCATAGGCCATTGTTGAAATATTCGACTAATAAGTTGTCAATGACTTTTTTTTTTCTGGTATAGAAGGGGGAGAGTGCTAAAGATATCAAGGGGTAATAGGGCCC